TAATAAGTAGTCTATTTTTTATATTGCGGTTTGTGAGGAGTAAGGTTTTAAAATGTGGCTCCATAGAGAGTGAGGCTTGCGCCTAATGCGCCTTATGGTAAATGCGACCCTGGGAATATAATTAAACTTCGTCAATTTGTAGTTAATATTATGCATCTAAATGCAAATAAATACCACGCATTGTGTAGTAAATTGATTGTTAATCAAATTATATTCGTTTCAGATATTACTCTGTGTTCTTTGAGTTTAAACATTTTGAGTTTCGGGACATAGTACCCTTCTTTATTCCAACGCTGATGTCTTTCTTCGCACCGAATTTTGCATCGACTGTGAAACTTTGGTTGCTAATTATTCTGACAGCCAGTTTTATATTTGGTATGATCGGTTTTAATGCAGCTCATCATCATCCTGACATTTTTCACGATGGCGATATGTACAGGTTAGTTGACACTACGTTACTATAATACCTATAATATCAATCACAATCAATTTGTCTGTTACTGACGTTGCCTAAACACGTACAATATTTTACACTAAAATAATTGAGCAATACAAGGAGAAACTACAAACACGTGTTTTAAATGTTTGCAAGAAATGTTCCATATGTTTATCTTTCGCTATAAATGATGATACTTGCATTTTATTTTCTTACGGAGAAATAATTTATATTTTTTAACATGTTAGATACATATTGAATTGTTTAAGAAATATTCTATATAGTGTATTGCAAGTATACGAGGCATGTTAGCAAATAAAAGAAATTCACGTTATCGACCAAAGAAGTTATACAACTTGAAAGTTCTGATTCTAATATAATTTTGTGTGCACTTAGATCATCATACATATGTGTATCACAAGTAAAAAATAATTTTTTTCGGTGGAGATTCGCTCGGGTTTTTTCGTAATGTTGGGTACAACTTACAATTAGTAACGCTGTAAGGTAGAGTAGAAACATCAGAAGGAAAAGTAATTTGTTCACAGTAGTTGTGCACAGAAAAAATGTTTTTTGTAAGTTGCAAAATACGAATGAAATAACATATCACGCATAGATGTAAGGATACGAATATTATATAAGTATAAAACCTTCATATGCAAAGGAAGGAATAAAATTAATTTTTTTTACGATTACATGTCGGACAAATTGTTTGATTATAAATTGTTAAGGGATAAAGAATTGGACCGAATTTCACCGAAAGAAACAATTTCCTGCTTACTTCGTTATGCTCCAAATTCTACATTCTAAATGCATACTGTGATATGCTCGGTTTGCTCCAATTGGGGTATCACTGAATTAAAACACTTGAGGATCGTCGTTGCGCAGAAACAGAACTTTATTTTCGAGATTTTGACGTTACGTGACGTGCGCGTGGTAAAATAGAGAATGAACGCGGAAATGGAGAAAATAGGGCTATTTAAGGGTTCTGGGAAGATGCATTTGGGTTGTGACTATGCAGGAGAGTTGGAATGTGAAGAGTCCAGTATGAGTAATGATGAAAGTGGGTGACTCGTTGTAAATACAGATAAAACTAGGGTCTAAGAAGGAAAATATTTGAGGGTGTAACAATACGAAGTTTCAGTGAAATTAGAATGTTCTGATTGAATAACTTTTCTTGTGAACAGTATATGTATACGTGTCTACATTATTTAATCTTTTCTTGTGCATTCTTGCGTATTTCACCATTTAAAAGACTACATTTGAACTCCGTGGAAGACGAAAAAGTGTGTTTAAATTTTGTACATACATGAATGAAAATTTGTGTTCTAGGAAGGATCTCGATTGGGGTTTGCTGGAACTGGATACCGTGAGAGAACGAAAGGTGATCGATGATTCTGATTTTCTGGTGTTGACAAACTTTGGTTTACATGGTCTTCATCATCTTTTACCAACCGTGGATCATTCTTATTTACCACTTACTATCAAAGCTTTCGAGGAAACTTGCAAGGAATTTGGAATCAGTACGGAAAAGCTTAGCCAATGGCAGCTTGTAAAAGGGCAGTTTAAGCAGATATTACGTAAAGAGTCGAAAAATAATTCTCGATAAAAAAAAAGAATACCGAAAGTGATCCGAACTATAGTTATATTTTTGTAAATGATTCCTTAAGTTTGTCTATTTAATAGATGAGATATAATAATACGAATATTTAAAGCACGTAAGACAATGATACGGTTGAAACGAACCGTCGTTTCTTGATTCATCAAATCTCTGATTCATAAATCAATATTTTACGCTATTAGAGGAGGAACCGATAGAGATTATCCGAGAAGGAAGGAGAGAAAAAATGGAAAAGGAAGGTGAATATGTGTCTTATTAAGTAAACGCAGGGGACATTTTTGTTAGTATTCATTAGAATGAATATATAGGTAATAACTTATGGGAAGGGTATTTTCTGTGTAGTCTTTGAAGAAGCGAGCGTAAGAGATGTCAACACAGCATTATTACAGAAGAAATTACTTGAGGGGAATAAAATTGTTTGAGTTTGATGCTTAGTGTCTCGCTTCGAAATAAAATTTATAATCATGGTTATTTCGTGACTAAATTTCTTAACCTTTTTCACCAGTCTTGGCCAAGGCTCCTATATTACGCCAAGTTTCATTATTTTTTGAATTTTCGGATTGCCTAACCTTCCTTATAAGTAGGCACTAACCTGAGTTTAGCCTTATTAACGAGTTCACTAGGTGACCCAAGAAAAAACGCATAATCAACACTCTGTACAATTATATTACTCGAATAATTCTCAATTATGCTATAGTACGTATGATCAATAAAATATTGATGACACTGTATTTTC